TGGGAGAATTTTTCACTTAGTGGGGAAGAGGTTGAACAAAGCGTGAGAATGTTTGCTTGTGTTAAGAGCACATTACTAACAGTAGGTTTTTATAGTCCTTGTTTTTATTGTTGTGATTATTATAATTTTTTTTAATGATTATTTTACTTCCTTTTATGTAAAGCACTTCGAATTGCCATTGTGTATGAAATGTGCTATATAAATAAACTTGCCTTGCCTTGCCTAAAGTCCAATCGAAGATATACTTAGTATATTTGATTGTGCTAAAGTGGAACTATTGCAAGTATACTTCAGGTACACTTTATATATTTTGAATTTGAAGGCCGATATTATTCAAAGATCATCAAAAGTGACATTAAAACATTTTAGACTTAATATTAAGAAATGTGCATTGTGCACATGTAGTATGCCAAATAAAGTTTAATTAGAATTTTTTTATATCAGTAAGTCATGAGTTATCTCTCAGTAAATGTTAACAGATCTGAAAAATACTTAGTATGAAATAAATGTATTTTAAATACATTACTTTTTTACTAATATATAAAATATACTGGATATTTAATATAATATTTAATAGATAAATTCAATATTTAATATACTGAATATTAAATATAATGTTTAATAGATCATTTTGATGTGTATTATATAAAATATATTTTATTTTATTCTATAAAAAACATGTTATTATACATCCTGCCTAGTCTTGTCCTCTTAAATGTTCAGATTGAAGGCTATAAAATTGCTTTTAATTTTAATAAAATTTGCTTTTGTTTTAAAGCAGATATTTAAATAACTAAATAAACAAAATTACTGTTATCTGGAAAGAGTGGAATGTTCTGTAGTGGAATGTCCTCTGATCACATAATGCCATTTCTTTATCCTGTAAGCAGTGCTGGGGAAAGTTACTTTTAAAAGTAATGGATTACAATATTGTGTTACTTTTTATGGAAAGTAATACATTTGTGATTTCTCGAAGACCTGACTAATCGATAATGAATTTCGTTGTCGTTTGTCTTTCAAGATCGATTATCGATTTGATCAGTTACTGCAAGCTGATTATTTTTGCACATACTGAACATCATTTTTTAATAATTCTTAATATGTTTTAAAGCCAAATGACACACTAAATGAGCACTGGGCAAGTTTTTATGAGATGTGCCCACTGGTCACTAAAGTTGTCATATTTATGTAACAAATAATCAGAATTGCAGCGTTACACAGTATGTTCATATTAAAGAGGGAAAATGCCTAATTAAAACATTTGTGGGAAAAATCTCAAAAATCTTATTGGGCTAATGTTTTAATGACAGGTGGCTGCAAACGTCAGCCGAACCCACGACTACTTACCTGTAGAGTTACACAGTGGTCCACACCATGCACATCTGCAATGGTACTCCAGCCTTAAGCAGAGACAGACGATCCGTCTCCTCTGGGAATCATTGTGTCATATCACTCTCTGGGGTGCTTCTGAAATCCAGTTTCTGTCAGGACCACTGTCGTCAAAGATGATTGACAATTAGCATACAGTTTGGATTGTATGGTTCTGTTCTGGGCAAGAACTCCCTGCGCCTCCATGCAGCCTAGCATGGATGAGAGCAGGGAGAGCAGCAATAACCCCCAGGGTAAACAGAACAGAACTAACATAAACGTATTGCAGATATTGTTCAAGTTCAATCATTTTATGTACACATTTTAGAATTAGTCTGATTCAAGGAGAATCAGAAGGCTGAATCCCGACTGACAGAGGAGGAGTTGGGGATGGAGGAGGGTAATTAGCTATTGAGCAATGCGAAAACTTTCCAATTCAACTACAGCTTTCAGAACAAGCATGTTCCGAATAACGACCGGATTGCTCTGGAACAAGCATGTTCCCAACAATACAGCTATAACTTAACAAGCATGTTCTCAGTACCAACCAGATAGCTCTGATACAAACTTGTTCCCGACAATACAACTATAACTTAAGAACAAGCATGTTCCCAATAACAACCAGATAGCTCTGGGACAAGCGTGTTCCCAACAATACAGCTATAACTTAAGAACAAGCATGTTCCCAATAACAACCAGATAGCTCTGGGACAAGCGTGTTCCCAACAATACAGCTATAACTTAAGAACAAGCATGTTCCCAATAACAACCAGATAGCTCTGGGACAAGCGTGTTCCCAACAATACAGCTATAACTTAAGAACAAGCATGTTCCCAATAACAACCAGATAGCTCTGGGACAAGCGTGTTCCCAACAATACAGCTATAACTTAAGAACAAGCATGTTCCCAATAACAACCAGATAGCTCTGGGACAAGCGTGTTCCCAACAATACAGCTATAACTTAAGAACAAGCATGTTCCCAATAACGACCAGGTAGCTTAAGAACAAGCATATTTCCGATACGACTAGACGGCTTAAGAACAGCATGTTCCCAATATGACTACAGCTTTTAGAACAAGCATGTTCCAATAACAACCAGATAGCTCTGGGACAAACGTGTTCCTGACAATACAACTATAACTTAACCAGCATGTTCCCAATACCAACCAAGCATGTTTCCAATACGACTAGACAGAACAAGCGTGTCTGATATAGGAACAGAATCAATGCTGAACTGACGGCTGCATATGAAACCGGAAAATGCTGCCTTCAGAGGACACATCCCAAGGTAGGAAGTCATCAAGACATGTCGAATCCAAAATTAGCTTCAATTCCTGCCTCCCGAGATACCCCATCTGGTCGATATCAAAAGGCAGAATAGATGCATCCTCCGCTGCCCCGATACCCAACAATCCCGTGCGTTCTATCCTGTGATGGGTTATCAAATAAATCATTGAATATTTGCTTAGTTATCACCAAGCTCGTTCTATTTGCTGCAGATCATTGAACCATCAAGCCGCCCCAGAAGCATGTCCGACACAAGCCCCATGAGTTACCTTCATGAACAAACGCTGCCTGCGAAGTCATTAGCTGATAGGCGTTGAGGCAGCATGTCAGCAGCCAAGGTTTTTGGATGCAGACGACTTCAACTGAACAATGACCATTTACCAATTTCTCTTGGAGCTGCGCTGCAGCAGAAATGATTCCATTTGCACCATGGTCGTTATTTCCTGCTGCTTAAATCTGTGCTGTAGTGCTATAAAAATTTAGTCTCGCGTAGCCAGACATTCAGACTGACGGCTGAAGGTCTGGAATTCATGGCAGCTTCTTTGTCAAACAACCAATCACAGTTCGTTTCATTCGTAGCACGTTTCGGGGCGTGGAAATGCTGCCTCAATAACAGACCGGTGTGTAAAACTCTCAGACGTATTTGAAAGATTCCGTGCCGCAAACTTAAATATTTTACATACTTTGAGAATCCAGCGTTTAGT